ACAGGGGGGCTAATAATTCTGACTTCAACTGTATATCTGTGTAATAAAACTGTTTTGTTGCAAATTCACCAAAATACAAGACTCATATTCACTAAGAAATGGAAAGAAATATTCGTTTTCTAAATACTCATTTATGTTGAGCACTGCACATCGATGAAAAGCTCATTTAATTAATTATTTTGCTTTTCTGGTAAACTATAAATCTCAATTTCCCCCCCAAAGAAACGATGCCGATGATATTTCTGTGGTCATATATGCATAATATCATTTGTGTATGGATTATACGTGTGCCTAACATGTTGCACGATTAGGAGCACAGCAAAAAAAAATCTCTCCTCAGTTTTTCTAACGCAGCACATCGAGTCTTTTCATCTCCTGCTTGTTTTGCAATTTTGATTTCCATCAAAAATGTAATCACGAGTGTTTAAGGGCTCAGCGCTGGCCTGCGCGCTGCCCTGAATTTCTAATTTTAGTCTATTCTTTCAGGATTTATTTTTTGTATAATTCAAGTATGCTTTTCAATATCTCCCGGTTATTAAATTTTAATTCCGAGATCATTAGCATATAAATTGAAAAGCCTTTTTTTTTTTCTCTTTTGAGTTGCCCACTCTTTCAGATGAAATTTAACAGGCCATATTTCTTTTTCCAGCTCTTCCATATAAATGTAAAATAGCAAAAGAAAAAACAAACAAAAAAAGAAATTCAGATTACTTTTAATTTAAATTTTGTTTTTTTTTAAATGACTGGGACATTTTGGGTGTGTGTGTGTGTTTTGTGTGTGACAGGAGTGTGTCAGTATATTCTGGTTCAAGGAAACTAGGACTGTCAGCCTAATCTCTTCCAGTCATCTCCTGAAATAGCCTGAGAGTAATAAATTCTCATTAGATGAGTGTTGAAATTCTGCTCATAGTTCCAGCATTCAGCGCTGCTTTTCAGATGAATGGCTGAAAGACTGAACCTGTGCGCTAATAAAACCTTCTGGCTCTTTCTGATGGACATGCGTGTCATTAAGAGCAGATTCACACATTCTGCTATCTATTAATGACGTTTAAAAGGACTGCTTTGTGTTTGTATTTGGCACTTGATTGGTGTGTGTGTGTTAATTTCAACATCATTTCAGCCTGTGAATTCAGATTCTTTTTTTATTTTATTTATTTGAATGTAGTTTGTTTGACCCAATGCTGGGTTACACTTTTTTTTTTTTAAACGAGGGTGGAGGTGCGAAATCTAATGTGCTTTTTTCCCTCCCAAAAAAAGCAGCTGCATGAGTGTGATATTGATTTTTATTGAATGGACCGGACAAACAAAGCTCAAATGAACACATGAATGAATAAATGCACGAACGAACGAATGCACAAACGAATTCGTGCAAAAATGAACACGCTAGCAAATTAATATAGTGACAAATTCACAAACGAACGAATGTGCAAACGAATGAATGCACAAACGGACGAATGCAAAAATGAACACGCTAGCAAATTAATATAGTGACAAATTCACAAACGAACGAATATGCAAACGAACGAATGCACAAACGAACGAATGCACAAACGGACGAATGCAAAAATGAACACGCTAGCAAATTAATATAGTGACAAATTCACAAACGAACGAATGCACAAATGGACGAATGCAAAAATGGACACGCTAGCAAATTAATATAGTGACAAATTCACAAACGAACGAATGCACAAATGGACGAATGCAAAAATGGACACGCTAGCAAATTAATATAGTGACAAATTCACAAACAAACGAATGCACAAACGCATAAATTACTAAATTTTTGAACGATCGAACAAATGCATGAATAAATGAATGAATGCACAAACAAACATGAAAGTATGAATGAACGAACGAATGCACTTGCAAATGCACAATTGAATGAATGCACAGGGGAATGAATGAATGCATGAATAAATACACAAATTAACAAACGAATGCACAAATGAACAAATGCACAAATAAACAAATGCATGAACGAATGAATATTCAAATGAACGGACACACAAACGAATTAATACACGAACAAATGAACGCATTCAAATAAATTGAAATAAATTATTATCTGACTTTCTCGCATCTGAAAAAGTCATCCTATCTGAACATGCAGCTCAACTCCCTGTTCAAGCTCTTGTTTTCTCCAGACTGGACTATTGCAACTCTCTACTAGTCGGGCTTCCAGCTAACTCTATCAAACCTCTTCATCTGCTTCAGAACGCAGCAGCACGAGTGGTCTTTAATGAACCTAAAAGAGCACGTGTCACTCCGCTGCTCATCCGTTTGCACTGGCTGCCAGTTGCTGCTCGCATCAAATTCAAAGCTCTGATGTTTGCTTACAAAGCGACTTCTGGCTTTGCTCCTTCTTATCTGCTCTCACTTCTGCAGATGTATGTGCCCTCCAGAAACTTGCGTTCTGTGAATGAACGTCGCCTCGTGGTTCCATCCCAAAGAGGGAAGAAATCACTTTCCTGAACTCTCGCATTTAATCTGCCCAGTTGGTGGAATGAACTCCCTAACGGCATCAGAACGGCAGAGTCACTCGCTGTCTTCAAGAAACGATTAAAAACTCAACTATTTAGTCTCCACTTCACTTCCTAATCTGCAATTGCCTCTCTGGCTCCACCGCTAACTGTACTCAAAAATAAATAAATAAATAAATTACTAATGTTTTGCTTCTTACACTTTACACACCTGAAACTTGCCTACATCACTTATTCATTGTTGCTCCTATAGTTGTGTAAATTGCTTCCTTGTCCTCATTTGTAAGTTGCCTTGGATAAAAGCGTCTGCTAAATGACTAAATGTAAATGTTTAAATTCTGATGCAATTTTTTTTCTCACAACTTAGTTTATAACTTGCATGTTTTTTTTTTTTTTCTTTCATTAATTTTTGTGAGGGTAGACGAGTCAGAATAGTTGCAATTAATTACTTTTTTTTATTATTATTCTTATTTGATTTATTTTTTATAAATCCCATATGTTAAATGGCCTTCCGTACAATTGATTGTTGATTCAATTAGTCTGCTTATTTCACTGCATCTTTTCCTCCTCAAAGTAAACTCTGCTGCTGCTGGATAAAGATGGTGTTTCCACACATTTTCTGCAGATTCATGTATCAAGTTGATTTTATTTCTCTGCAGAGTCTGAGCCGTGCATATATATTTGCAGTTATTCCCCCAACATAAATCTGTTATTCTGAACAGAGGGAATATTGTAGGCTTTTAAAATGCTTCTTCTGCCGTTCAGTCGGTTTAAGCCACAGTGTGGAGTTTCTGAATTAGTTTTGATTTGGTTCTTGTTCTCTTATTGTCTGATAATTTACAAGAAATTATTTGCCCCAAATTCACTGTTGTTGGAGCTTTGAGCATTAAATCTGTGATGGAAATACTCTCAACCCGTTTTTATGTTCATACACTGTGTATTTATGTGTCTTTAAATCTAAAAAAAATATAACCGATAACACTGATAACAGATTTTGTTTTATCTTTGTCATGATGACAACACATAATATTTTAATATATTTTTCAAGATACGAATATTCAGCTTAAAGTGACATTTAAAGGTTTAAGTATGGTAATTAGGTAGACAAGTTACTGGACAACAGTGGTTTATTTATAATAATAACAATAATCATAATAATAAAACAAATAATAATAATAATAATAATATTAAAATAAAAATACTATTGTTAATAAAAATAATAATAATAATACAACAATATTTATCATTATTTTGAACGTTTTTATATTATTATTATTATTATTATTATTATTATTATTATTATTAATATTAATTTTGATAATAATAAAATATTGTTGATAATAACAAATGACAACAGCATTTATTACTTTTATAAACATTAATAATAATAATGATAATAATAATAATATAATAAAATAATGTTAATAATATTAGTGAATCAATTAATTCTCATTGTTATTATAATAATTATAATAAAAAATAATAATTATTATTATATGTTGTTCATACTAATAATACTAATAATAATCAACAACAATAATCATTACTTATTAACATTATTATTATTATCTAATAGGAATGTTAGATAAGTTCTAGCTATTATTATTATTAATAATAATAATAATAATAATAATAAACAATTTTTATTATTAATTTTATTCTTGATTGTAAAATATTATTGATAGTAATAAACGACAACAACAATATTTATTACTTTTGTTTAAAATAATAATAATAATAATAATAATAATAATAGTAATAATAATACCTGCAATATTTATTATTAATTTAATTATTGATAATAATAAAATATTGTTGATAGTAATAAACTACAACAATATTTATTACTTTTATTAACAATACTATTATTATTATTATTATTATTATTATTATTATTATTAATAAAATAATAATGTTGTTAATAATAATAAAATATATTGTTAATAGAATGAACAACAACAATCATTATTACTTTGTTAATTATTATTCATAATAATAATAATAATAATAATAGTAATACTACTACTACTACTACTACTACTAATAATAATAATAATAATATAAGATAAAATAATAGTTGTTAATAATAATAATAATAAAAGTACATAATAATATTTAAAAAAAGTACTGAAGCTAAAAGAAATCTGACTTTCTCAAAATTATTAAATATTATAGAAAATAGCCTGAATAATGTTCTTGCTATATTAAACAGCACTTGGAAAATGAGGGCTAATAATTTTTAGACAATAATGGACACACACACAAAAAAAACAATTTAAAAAAAAATTATTGGTAGTAGTAGTAGTAGTATTCTTATTAATATCATTAATGCCATCCATACTAACTGTATTTATTTATTTGTTTTTATTGTATTTTATTGCCTTACTGTATCATTTTATGTAATTTGTTTATATTAATTTGAGTATCCGGGTTATTTTCCTCTTGAAATAAGATTTATTTCTGTTTTTGTAGAAACATGTATGTGTTTTATCACATCTCATTTTGTGTGTTTTTCAGTTTCTTCGCTCTTGCTGACAGACGTGGAGTCATGAGTTGTCAGGAGGTGCCGAACCCCAGTCAGGAGCCCAAGGACCCACCGGTGGTGCCGACAGAGGCTGGAGCCACACAGGCAGTGCCCACCACGTCCCCAAAACTGCCCTCCGTCACTGTGAAGACCGAAGCACCTGCAGAATCTGTGGCCAGCAACGGGAAAGTGAGCGACGGGAGCATTCCTGCTGAAATCTGTGTGGTTCTGGGCAGCTCGCGCAACTCTCAGACACAAGGTAGGAGAAACTGCGCGAACACAAGACCGATTGATGCACTAAAATTACACACAAACGTATGGCAAAAGTAGTCTGTTACAGAAATTTGAGTATTTGTAATTTGTTACTTTACACCACTACACATACACTCACTGGCCACTTTATTAGGTACACCTTACTAGTACCGGGTTAGACCCTTTCTGCCTCCTTTAAGGCAGAGATTCAACAAGATACTGGAAATATTCCTTTGAGATTTTGCTCCGTATTGACATGATCCCATCACGCAGTTGCTGCAGATTTGTCGACTTCACATCCATGATGTGAATCTCCCGTTCCACCACATCCCAAAGCTGCTCTATTGGATTGAGAGCTGGTGACTGTGGAGGCCATTTGAGTACAGTGAACTCATTGTCAAAAAAAACAGTCTGAGATGATTAAGCTTTATGACATGTTATCCTGCTGGAAGTAGCCATCAGAAGACGGAGACACTGTGCTCATAAAGCGATAAACATGGTCAGCAGTAATACTCAGGTAGGCTGTGGTGTTGACACGATGCTCAATTGGTACTAATGAGCCCAAAGTGTGCCAAGAAAATCTCCCCCACACCATTACACCAGCACCACCAGCCTGAACCGCTGATACAAAAAAAAAAAAAAAAAAAAAACTACTAATACTTCCCTTCTTAGACTTTACAGACCTGAAACTTGCCTTTAGTACTTATTCATTGTTGCTTTTAGTTGTGTAAATTGCTTCCTTGTCCTCATTTGTAAGTCGCTTTGGATAAAAGCGTCTGCTAAATGACTAAATGTAAATACAAGGCAGGATGGATCCATGCTTTCATGTTGTTGATGCCAAATTCTGACCCGAGCATCCGAATGTGTCAGCAGAAATGGAGACTCATCAGAGCAGGCAACGCTTCTCCAATCTTCTATTGTCCAGTTTTGGTGAGTCTGTGTGAATTGTAGCCTCAGTTTCCTGTTCTTAGCTGACAGGAGCGGCACCCGGTGTGGTCTTCTGCTGCTGTAGCCCATCCGCCTCAAGATTGAACGTGTTGTGTGTTCAGAGATGCTCTTCTGCAGACCTCGGTTGTAACGAGTGCTTATTTGAGTTACTGTTGCCTTTCTATCAGCTGGAACCAGTCTGGCCATTCTCCTCTGACCTCTGGCATCAACAAGGCATTTGCGCCCACAGAACTGCCGCTCACTGGATATATCCCCTTTTTCTCTGTAAACCCTAGAGATGGTTGTGCGTGAAAATCCCAGTAGATCAGCAGTTTCTGAAATACTCAGACCAGCCCATCTGGCAGCAACAACCAAGCCACATTCAAAGTCACTTAAATCTCCTTTCTTCCCCGTTCTGATGCTCACTTTGAACTTCAGCAGATCGTCTTGACCATGTCTACATGCCTAAATGGAGTGAGTTGCTGCCATCTGATTGGCTGATTAGACATTTACGCTAACGAGCAGTTGGACGGGTGTAATGTGGCCGTGAGTGTATATACTTGCAGGACTGGCTGCAAATGTAAAATTAAGATCTGATGTTTTTTTCTTATGATTTATTTACTTACCAAAGTTGCGTTTACTGCTAACATAAAATATTGTGAAGTATAACTACAATTTGCAATCATACACGCATATGAAGAGTTGGGAAGCAAAAACCTCTAATTGCCATCTAGAAATTTCTTCTGCATTCTTCTGTTATTTCATGTTAAAATAGATAAAAAATAACTTATTCTGGGTGGCGCAGTAGGCAGTACTGTTGCCTCACAGCAAGTAGGTCGCTGATTCGAGCCTCATCTGGGTCAGTTGGCGTTTCTGCGTGGAGTTTGCATGTTCTCCCTGTGTTTGCGTGGGTTTCCTCCGGGTGCTCCGGTTTCCCCCACAGTCCAAAGACATGCAGTACAGGTGAATTGGGTAGGCTAAATTGTCCGCAGTGTGTCTGTATGGATGTTTCCCAGAGGTGGGTTGCAGCTGGAAGGGCATCTCCTGTGTAGAAACATGTGCTGGATGAGTTGGCGGTTCATTCCGCTGTGGCAACCCCTGATTAATAAAAGGAACAAGCCAGAAAGAAAATTAATAAATAACCTATGCTTTGCCAAAAAAATAAATTATTGAATCAAGACACAGGAGAGCCTATGAAAAATGCTCATTTTAAAATGAATATTCAGATGTCACTTGGAGGTTTTTGCATCTGAACTCTTCATATATATACAATTAAATGTTATTTAATCCTGAGATAATTACTTCAGTCATCGTTGTCACATGATTTCTTTAGACATCATATCATTGTAATGGGGAGACTGACACGGAGGGATCCATTTTGCAGTATTTATTAGACACAGTCAAACACAAACATCCAACACGCACTAAAGTGCGAACACACATCAACAGTAATCAATAATGGTCGTGGGGCTGGCAACTGACAGACACAGAGTGATTTACCAGGCATAGATCAGTGGCAGGCGGCGTGGTTAAGAATCCTTTAGACAGGCTTGGGTCGAGGGCAGGCAGCGTGGTACAAAGTCCATGTATCAAGCAAGGGTCGTGAGCAGGCAGAAGGCAACTCAGAGTCAGAAACAGTCCGGGGTAATATACAGAAGATCAGGCAGGAAAGAACGCTCAGTAATGCTGGCCGGGGCTAAACAAGACTTCGCAATGGACTGGAGTTTGAGTGTGGCTTATATAGGGAGCGTGGGTCGTTACCGGGATTCAGTTCAGGTGTGCACAATCAGTACAGATGGATGATGTAATGCTTAAAAGTCCGGGGATGGTGACCTCTGCTGGCCAGCGAGGGGAATGACTGGGACCGAGTCGGTGACGATCATAATGTGCTCATTTGCTGTCCTGCTGCTTATGTTGTGCACATCTGGTTCATAAGAGTTAAATAAGAATAAATAAAGCCTTAAATACTCTTATTCAGCAAGCATGCCTTAAAATGATCAAAAGTTTTGACGGTAATAACTTTGTAACAATAATAACTGAATTACTTTGAGAATATTTTGTCAAATTGACAATCATAACACATAATACAACAATTTTTCTTCAAATAAATACCTTGACTTTGACCGTTGTGTTCTAGCTAAACATTGATGCCACTGACATTCATTACAAAAGGAAACTTTGTTTTCACAACTTTTTTTCCATGTAATGAAAAAACAAAACTAAGTTACAACATGCTGCTCTCTCCATGCATAAACATTACTGAAATAAAGAATATTCTACTCGTGTGTACTTATATTAACTTTTCCCCTCATATGCATCGCGGCTTTGATTGGTCCGTGGGTTAATGATAATACACATTTGCTTAAAATGTTTCATTACAGATGTTTGTGAAGTTGTGTAAGCTTTTGTACATTAACTCTGAAGTGCTTTATTATGCAAAACTCTAAATATCTCGAGTTGTGATCGTGAACTCGAGGACAGACTATCATATTACTGTAGGTGTTGTATATTTATTAGTGCTGACTAAAGATTAACATGCAAATCTAATTAGATTGACTTTATTTGGTAAATCAAGCAAGTTTTTCATATAATATCTCTACTAAAAGACAAATGACTGTACAAACTGCATTGTACATAAATCAGATGAACATGTTCACATTAGTCAATAATATTACTGAAATTAAAACTGAAAAAAAAAAAAAAATATATATATATATATATAGATATTACACACGTTTACTCAAGTAAATAAACAGAATTAATGATGAGCTGAAAATCTGTGGACTATTTGCAGAATTCTGCGCGCGCATATTCCGGGTGGGCCTACTTATAATTGAAATAAAAGATTTTATTTAACCCCTAAAGACCGAAACAGCTGCCGCGGCAAAAAATAAGTGTTGTTCTGAAATGTTTAATAACTTTTTGATTCGCGTACAATTCAAAGATTGGCATAAAGAAGAAAGTCTCAGCTTTCCATCGCTGTATAACATTACATTACCCGGACCTTCAGAGGCTCCGGAATCATTGTGGTTACGTCATCACATTTTGACAACGCTGATTTGATAAAGGAACGATCGTGGCTTGTGTCTCTGGACGAACCAGACATGATGCATTGATGCATTGTCCCTCCTCCATGCCCAGATTGGTTCAAACTCGCTCTCTCTCAATCAATAAGCATAAGTTTTGCTTTGTGGACCAGCAATCAACAATTTGAACAACCCGGAATGAGAAATAGGCTGTACAGAAGCAGCAGGGTCAACACCATGTCCATGCTGGCACATAAAAGCTAAGAATGGTCCATATTGAATCTAGTTTAGTTATGTAACTAGTTATAGTATTGTAAATATTTACATCAAATTTTTTTACTGAGGATTTGCACCATGTTTATTTGGACTTTGACGCATTATTTATTATTTTCTTATTTTTTATTTGTTCATTGTAAGTGCTGCTGTTTATGATAACTGAAAATATATTATTTGGTCAAACTTGCTTCAGTGTTCTGTTATTGTGTAACAATCCTTCTGTTTAGTTCATCCCAGAACTTTTGGGCAAATACACTGTCAGTAAATAAATGCGCTAGTTTGTTCCCACTGAAAAACACCTTATGCTGCGTTCACACCAGACGCGGAACACGCGTCAAGCGCAAGTGATTTATATGTTAAGTCAATGCAAACGCGTGAATAGACATCCTGCGCTGCGATACGCGAATGGCGCAGGGTGAATTGAGCGTTTCGCGCGAATCTCTGGAGTTCGAAAATCTGAACTTCAGCGTACATTCGTGCCGCGTTAACCAATCAGAAGCTTGCTCTTGTGGGGGCGTGATTGTGACGTAGAACCTGTTGTCGGTGTCAGCTGGAGGATTTCCCTCGGAACACCGACAACAGGTTCTACGTCACAGTTCATAAAACTGGGCTTGGCTCAGTCAGAAGCACCGCTGAAAGCCTCCGTCATCCAGGTTCAGTTTCTGGAGGAGTTTATGAGCTCACAGAGCTGGATGCACCTCTGAAAGGATGTAGTGGACTCAGACACGGCCCTAAACGTATCAACGCTATTTTCAGCCTTCATGAAGCACATAAACACTGTTATTTTCTTCATAAAATCCATGTTAGCTATTTCGCTATGAAGCTAGAGTCACCGGGCAGACAGAAGCCCTGCCCATCATGCGAATCCGTGTCTGTTCTGAAGTGAATTTGACGCGCGAATGAAGCGAGTAAACTCAAATGTTCACGCGGCAATTTACGCGCGAATAACGCGATTTATCCGCGCGTTCCGCGCCTGGTGTGAACACAGCATTAGAATAACATTAAAATAAATTGCTATAACTTGCTCAGGGAAAGGTGGATGTAGACAGAATTTATTTTGGAAGCATAAATCAGCATAGCGTGTATTTCTAAAGAAAAAAAAAATAAAAACTTTATGAGGTTTTGTTTGTAATAACTAGAAAATGCCTCTTTTTTTTAAAAACAGTTTTTCTAAAAAATTCTGGATTATTTTCTGTCTGTTCATATGTTTTTGGGCATATATAATATTATCTATATAGTCTAATATTTTAGACTGGACCTTTAAATGATACAGATTGAAGCCTCAGGTTCTCCTGTTTAAAGTAATATATGACATTTGAGGCTAAAATAACAATAAAACTGCTTTAAAAAAATATATAATAATAATATAGGCCCATTAGGTGCCCACAAAATACCTCTAGGTCTTTAAGGGTTAATTCAAGGAGCCCACTTGTGCATGATTATTTTATAGGGTTCAACATTTATACAGATTAGACATTACACTTATACTTCTGTCAGAGTGGATGCATAGTTGGCATTGAATTTCATTTAAAATGGTATTGAAAAGGTTTTTTAAAAACTTTGAACTTCATTTGAAGGATCGCTGGGGTACCCTGTGACCATGCAGGTGTGCATTTATATACACGTAATAAATATACACAGTACACACACACATTATGTCTAAACAAACTTTTAATTTGGATGCAATTGTTCTTAACTAAAGATAATTAATTACTAAATGCTGTCAAAATAGAGACTTTAGTCAGCGCAATAGTCTAGTGGTTAGTGCGCGGGCATATGGCACAACAGGGCGTCCCGAGTTCGAATCCCGGCTTGAACACATTTCCTGACCCTACCCTCTCTCTCTCTCCTACTTTGTTTCCTGTCTAAATGCTGTTCTATCCTCTCAATAAAGGCAAAAAGGCCAAAAATAAATCTTAAAAAATTCTAATGATAGAGACTTTAGACATTAAATTGCCAAACAGACCAAATTTTGGCCTTTGCGGATTGCTTTGTTTGACCTCTAATTACCAAGACTGCATATAGTAATTAATTTACAATTTAGACATGGATATTTGGGGAAATATCTGAAGGTTAGGTGTGTCTGCGTACATCTATGTCTGTTTAATTCCTCCTCTCGCAGGTACAGCACCTTGAGCAGACGGGTTGCTGTTAAACTGTTAACCTGTAAACCGTGTTTCCTGCCTGGAGGTGTAATTACACAGTGCACCTTGCTAACACCTGAACACATTTATCTGATGTTTTCCTTTCTCTCTTGCAGGCTCATACATTTGTGGAGTGTGTGGCAAAAAGTACAAATACTACAACTGCTTTCAGACACACGTGCGAGCTCACTCAGGTAAAGGCCTGTTCTTTCAGTACTGAGCTGAAATGAGCATTCAGAGCAGCAAATTATATGGTGACCTATTAGACAAAAATCATAAATATATGTAATTATTACTACATTTAAAAAAAAAATTTGTTTTATCTATTTATTTATTCATTCATTCATTCATTCATTTATATATTTAGTTACATA